ATTTTTAAGATGGGACAAGTTTAATAGGAAACCAGGAAGTAAGAGGAATTAAAATTGTATCAGATTTTTGATAGCTAAGTAAAACTGGACTAGGTTATTCTCTAGTTATTGGAGGAAAAGTTTGGCAAGTAATTTGACCAGAGCTCAGTAGCAGACTTAAATATCAGGCCTCATGTGCTGTTTTAAGTTTTTAGATAAATTGTGTGTGTCTCTAGCTTTAGAAAACAGATAATTTGCCACGTGAGACAGGATAAGCCTCTGGCAAGAGCTATTGGCCTGAATTGAAGCCAGGGGGTGGTTGGACTTGAGGAAAAGGAAGGAAAGGATCACATTAAAATGGAAACTCTTCCATTTTAAGCGGAATTGAAGGATCCAGGTCTTCTGTTGAAGAACATCTTTCACCTTTATTGAATGCTGAGGTTACAGCATTTTCTTAATCTAGACTCATTGTGTTTCAATTGGAAAATTGTAATTTTAATATTTCTGCAGTAGTAAAATATACAAAACGGGAGATAGAGCTTCAGGAAAGAGCGTGCCTTTGAGTAAGTTGCCTGCTCTTCAGGATGTCTGAAGCCTCTAAACTGCATCTAAACTGCACATTATAGATGACAATACACTTCCCTCAACAGGTTGGAAAAAGCGCTGGGACTTAATGATAGCATCTAGATTTCTGTATAGAAAAGTATGTGTTATGTGTACCACTTCAAAGTCCAGGGAGGCTCCCCCTAAACCAAAGCGAATGTGTTGGCTACTCTGTTGGACTGTTGGTGTCTCTGTGCTCTCTGCAGCCTCGCTTGCTTGGCAGGACTCTGTGCTGCTTGGCAGTCTTATTTGGCTGGCTCTGGCCAGTCAGGATTTGTGGCACCAAATGGACAATTCAACTTCCAACTTTACATGCAGGGTTACGTCATGCTAACACAGAACTCTCTTGAGATGTAGGTAGATTTGGGGATGGTTCATGGAAAAATTATCACAGTTGGCACCATCATGCTCCTTGTTTCCAGACTGTGGCAGATGAGCCCTAATGCTGATTGACAGATAAGTAGTTCAGGTCTGTCAGAATTGGAGCTTAGACTCTGAGTAGTGCAGAAGACATTAGGTGCTTTGTGGACTTGTAATTGCTGCAGAAGCAGAATTGTGCAAATGTAGTTGTGCTCTATATAAATTAAATTCAGCTGAACACCAAGATACTTCAGCATTAAGCCAGTTTGGTTGTGTACATGTTTGATGCACAACTCTGGTAACTGAGAGTTTATTGTACTTCTGGTGTCTGTGTTGGTCATCAGTATTGTATAGATATTTTTTGTTTACTTTGGTTCTCAAAATGGATCTGCTTTGCTGTGATGAGACCAAGTTATTCACCATATCAAATTAGTCAAAATACTGTTAACACAGGCTATCGGTGAATAGTCGGTGAGGGAAGTCAAGGAAGCATTTACTGCTGTGAGATGTCCAAATTTTTTTATGTGCATGAAGGTATTGTGTTGAGCTCTGAGTAATGGAAATTACTCTGGGCAACAGTTCCAGATATCATGTGGTCTTCTTGAGAATTTTTAATCTCTAGGCATGTAAATTTCTGTGCTACAAAGATTTTTTTTTAAAGAATGTCAGCAATGAAAACCAGTTCATCCTTTGCAGTATTAAATATTTTAGAGTGTCAGTACTGAATGAGTTTCTGCATGCAAATGCTAAAGCAAAGACAAGTTTCTGCAGCCTCTATAAATATGCTTTCTCAACCAGCAGCTAGATCAAACCTGGTAAGATAAAATGTTGTTACATCCTGCAAGAAGACTAGAGTTAAAATGATGACATCCTTGTTTTTGAGCATTTATGGGAATTTAAGGAAAGACAACAACTTTATCCTCGTATGTTTGTCTTAATGACTGTTGGCTGTTAAAGGACAAAAAATGTTAGTTTTCCTAATTTTTTAAAGGAGACTATGAAGAGCCTGTCAAGTAGGACCTTGATAAAAAACAGCATTGGAATTAGATAATTAAAAAAGTGTAATGGATGAGATTGGGATAGAAGTGTAGGTAGAAGTATGGCTGATGTCAACTTAGAAGAAAGCTAACACTGTCTAAAAAGGAAAACTAGGTAGAGAAGGGGAGTGCAATATTCAGAGATGTGATGTTTAGAGATCTCTTGGAGCTCAGTAAATCAGTTTCTTGATATGGCTACAGTGCTTAAACCATGAAGTTCACCTCTGGAAAGAATTGCTTGTGCTTATCTTCTGTAATAGTGGATGTCTTTCTTAATGTTCTCCTTTGAATGACTGAAGTGGAATTACTAGGCAAAAATGCAAAGCTTTTAGGGGCTGGCTAAATAATAGGTATTGTTTTTATGAATATTTCTCCTTGTAGTTCTGGATTGTTCAGTTGTGGTGGTCCAATAGTTGTCCAGTGATAGAAGCAAAAATACTTGTAATCTTAATGCAGAAGATTATAGAGCTTCTTTCTAAACACCAGTTAGCTCAGGTGCTCTTGAATATTCTTAAAGAGCAAATTACCATAAATATAAACAAAAGGCCATGCTAACATCAGATCTACTTAATCTGTAGCAGCATATTGCAAGGAGTCTTTAACTGGCTTCAAAAATGACTAATTCAAAATGTTGTATTTTGGCAAATCATCAAAATCAATTTGCTGTTACAGGGATAGTTTCTCTTACTTTTATCTTCTCTAAAATAGCCTTTTCTCTATGAATTTATTCATGCCTGAGTGACATGATTCAGCTACCACTAAGCAGGAACAATTCTAACAGGTTCAAGCTTATGAATGTAGTAGAGTTATCTCCTGACACCTGCATGGCTTGTGAAGTGCTTGGTTACAGTTCATTAGCCCCTTTTGAGGGCCTGGGGAAAAATTGAGCACTTGAAAGGCATTCCTAGTGTGGAGAGATGAATTACTTTTTTTCTCAATGTTTTTAATATAGCAACCTTGAATGCCTCATTTAATAAATCAGAACTTGAGAAAGCAGATAATAAAATTTAGAACAGAGATGTAACTGATAGCTGTAGAAAAAATTGACAACAAAGATACGGCTCTTTAATGGAAAGAGTCTCCTATCACAGCAAAGCCACATATAACTTCTTGATTAATTTTTAGTGCATCTTCCAAAATATGATTTCTCTGTATTTTTTTTTTGTCCTTACTGACTTCTGCTCCTTGTTGCAAAGATTTTTTTTTTCAGTCCCACTCATTTTATGGTATTAGGAAAAACGTTCTAAGACCAGGACTAAGCTTAATTTCCCATCTGTACTCTAACAGAAATTATCTAGTTTGCCCTCAGGAACTGAAATGGTTATAAATTCAGATCTTACTTGCTAAGATTGTTTTTTCCTCTCTCTACCCCTTTTTAACAAGTTTCCATAATCATGGTGTTGCCCATGCTCCTGGGAAACAATTCCTTGTGTGTCGAGTTCACTAGGGTCTTAGTTCCTAAGTAACATGTCTGATCATTCTCTCAGGTCACTGTGTGGTAATGATGGGATTGTCACTTGACTGTCATTACAAACTGTATCCCTATCTCCTGGAGCAATCTTCAATTCAAGACAGATCATCAGTTTTCTGTGTATATCACAACTGTCTTCCACCTGAAATTATAAGCTTGTGCTTCAATTACACCTTGGTGGTTTTGCTCTGTTATGAAATACTGTGAAAAAAGTTTGAAAAAATTTTGAGGCAAGTTTTCTTAAAAATGTCTTATGTACTCTGTTAAGCTGCACATTTGTAGTCTATTGAGCCCATTTGAGTTGTTCACTGTGGGCTCACTACAGTGTGGGCTTTGCAAGGTCCTAGTGCTATAAGCTGGGGAGTTTTCACTAAAGGGATTTGTTCCTGTTCTTCCTCCCTCCATGAGTCAATGTAGGCTCAGTTCATGAGTGAGTAAGGGGTAGTCTAGTTTTTATCCCAAAGTTCTGTTGTGTTGACAATTTATTAATAGTCATTCTTTAATTTATTTTAATTCATTAAGAACTTACTGTGAAGACTCATGAAATCTCAGCTGATTAATATTAACTCTCTTTCCTACACTTTGAGTTCTTGTAATTTGGCTTTCAGTCTGTAACTTGAACTATTGCAATCATTACTGAAAATATAACTTGTTAATGGGAGCTGCCTTGATTTCCTGCACTTGTTATTTTTCTCATCTCTTCACCCAAGCAAGAAGTGCCAGTAGTGTGATCCTGTGAGCTGGGATAACTAAGAATGTGTGTGAGCTGATGGCTTCTGTTGCTTTGATAACAGTTTTGTATTTTCAGAGTATCACAGTGCATATAATTTGTGCTTTTTCTATTTTTAAAAGACCTAACATCACAATCCAACTAACAAAACCCAAGAGCTTGGCAGGGTAAGCATTCTTTTGGAGAAGAAATTTACATCTTCGAAGTGTTAATAACAGAAACTTTTTATATATCGTGACTTGAAATTTCTTAATTCCGTAACTGCAGAACAAATAAATACACTTGCAATGTAATGAGTAAAATGTGTCATTTCAAACTAGGATCACTGAATTCCAATACAAAACAGAATAAAAAATTAATCCACTTCAAAATAAATTTTGGAAAATGTAAAACTAATAAACTGTTGAAATTCTTTTGCCTGCTGTTGCTCTTTTCACACTGGTTTTTAGTTTGGATCAAAACTCAGAAATGAAACCTGCACTGTGTATACTGATGGAATGTGGTCTTATGTTTCTGTTGCCAGCTTCCAAAGTATATGTGTTCTGACAGCTATAGCCTACATATTAATTAGCAGTGTATTTTTTTTCCAACAACATGATAAAAATTATACACAACAGGATTTATTATTGCCTCCAATAAATTTGTTTGAGCTGAAAACACTTGAATTTTATTCTATAAGGCCAACAATGGCTTTAGCTCTGATACCTCAAAGGTCACCTTTTTCCTTTTTGTAGTAAGGATTGTCTGCTTCTGTATTGGAGTAGACTCAAACCAGTCCATTCCAGCATTTGAAGGGGCTGGGTGGTAATGTAATTTCTGGAAGAATTGTCTTTTGGAGTTCACTCTGAGCTCTCTGTCTGGATATGACAGCTGCAAGAAGAGGGCTCATGGCAAATATTGTCTCTAAATGCTGTAAAATAAGAAAAAAGAATCTCACTTGTTGATAATGCAAGTAAGTGAAACAAAAGGCTATACTGGCTTTAAATTTTATATGCTGTCTTAATGAAGTATTAGCAGCAAGATATGTTTAAACAATATTTCTTCTTACAGTGATGGTTAATGTTAATTACTGAAGTGTAGACAGTTTGAGACTTGAAAAGTCTAAGCATTATGCATGTCATATATATGTGCACACAGGAAACCTCGGCCTGTCTCTCAGCTGGTTGCACAACAGGTTCCTCAGCAATTTGTGCCCCCTACACAATCAAAGAAAGAGAAAAAAGACAAAGTAGAAAAGGAAAAAAGTGAAAAGGAAACAACAAGCAAAAAGAACAGCCATAAGAAAACCAGGTAAAAAATTTAGAAACCTTTACAGTATTCATAAAATGTCATTTACAAACAAAAATAAGAAAGTGTTCTTTGATTTTATTGGTTTCTAAGTGCTGTGGCAAACAGCTAGGTTATATATTGATGTGAAGTTTTTTGTTTTAACCTGTCTATAAAATACAAAGAAGACCTGCAGTGTGTACTTGTGGCCAGAAGATGGAGATCAGCTGAACAGAGAAAGAAAGGAAGACTTTTTAAGGGTTATTTAGTGTATTGTTTTAAGAGTTTATAGAAGTGTTTTGCATACCATACAAAACTGTTGATAGGCAAATTGATGATATTAATATCTGGAAAAAAGAGAGGATGGGAGTGATTAGTTTTCATGCAAAATAGTAGTGGGAGGAGAGAGAACCAGTACCAGACTACAGATGAGTAGGGAAAATAACTTAGTTATTGATAGCCTTGTAGAACCCTTCAGCTTTGAAGGGCTGAACTAGGGCATAAATTAATGTGACAGGATAAGGTATGTCAGTTACCTAGTGATAGAACTCTCTATGCCACATCTGGGATGCTGAAGGACTCTTACAAGTGAAAACATGAAATATTGCAGTACAGACAAGCAGTTGTAAAAGCCTTGATCTTGCTGTAAGGGAGGAGGGTGCAAACTGCTAAACAAAAGCAGCAAGTTTAACCCCTAATTCATCATAATCTAAGCATAAAGTTATTGTGGCAAGAATGCTGTGTCAAAAAAGCTGAAAAGTGTATAAGACATGTAGTCTAAGCAAATCTGGGAGGAGCTATTGATTTTTTTGGAAGCACTCCAAAATAGCCCAGCCAAGAAATATCGTTTGGGATTAGTTATGCAGGGAAGTAGCAGATGCTTCTGTTGTGCCTGAAATAGGATCATTAGGATCAGAACAAGGGAGAGACTGAGAGTCAGTAGAGAGCAGTCATTAGGAAAGTCAAATCTACAAGCTTACCTCATGCAGCTGAAGTACTTCAGTTATGAAGCATTTGATGTTAGCATAGTGAGCTTTAGTTAAGCCAATTATAAATTGAAATATTGAGTAAATTGCAATAATGCAGTAAAAATGCAAAAAGTGAGACAGAAAGATGAAGGAAATTTGAAAAATACCTAAAATAAAATCTGGGGCCGAAATACCAGTATGATCTTGCATTAAGAATTGATTTTTTTTTTAATTCTTCAAACAGCTAATTTTTTCCAAAAATTTTCACTAGGTACAATAGTAAGTTAAGAATGCCTGATTAGTTTAGGCAGATTTCTTCAGTATTTTTAAAGAAAAAGGATATCCTTTTCTTTTTGCCTTAAACTGTATATATTATTGCTGGAAACAACTACAAAAATCTTCATGCACACTCAGTATAATTAATAATCTCCAGGTACACAGCACTTGCACAAGTTGATAATTCTGAACTTTTCACTCTCTTCCCATGATGCACATCAGCAGATTTTCAATTTTTTCTGAGTTACTTCAGTCATGCTGCTTCAGCCTCAGGGGAGCATGATGTCAAAGCCTATCTCAGTTGTAGTGGAGAAAAGACGCGAGTTGTTTCAGCTGAAGTGAATGGGAACAAATTCTACTTCAAACAAAGTTGATGATAGGGTAGAGGTTAGAGCTGTGCTGTTATCACACCTGCAAACATGTGGTGTCATTATTTTATTGCAGCTTGGGCCAGTGGTAGCTGTGGAGTCAGTTAACAGTTGTGCTGTTCATAGCTGCTTGTGTGAATTCAGCTGTCTGGTATCAGTTTTTCATGGTGATCATGGGAAAGGACTAAATTGAAAGTATTTTGTGCATGTCACCAGCAAAAATATGATGTCAAAACAGAAGTCAAATTATTTTTTAGTTCTTTTTGTTGTGAAAAATTAAACAGTTGAAAGATTGAATGAAGATACTTAGTCTGTCAACACTATGTATGTATCATTCATCTCTGCATAATTTAAAACAGAGACGATACCAGGAATAACAGTTACACTATGAACACAAAGTCCAGTTCAAATAGTATACTGGTGGTCCTAGTGAGGTTTTGAAATGAGGTAACACCTGCTGCAAGTTAACACTGCCTGTGCTGTTGAATTCAAAAGACAGACACCAACATCTTCATTACTGAACATAATTTTCTACTTAGAATTGTTCCTTCAGGCTGCTGCAGGGATGGATGTTTCCCTGGATCAAATTTATAACTTTGCACAGTAAAGAAAGAATTGGGTTTTAAAAGTAAAAACGTTCACATATTGCTGCATAGTGACATTATTAAAAATGTCAACTTCTAAGTAATTTTACGAGATGGTAATGTGTTATATTCAACTATTTCAATGTAAAAATACTAGGAAACACTCCACTGTTAATACTTCTGGTACTTTGTTTTCCTACATATTACACGTTGCAAAAAGAAGTCTTATATACACATTTGTTCTCCTGAGCTCCTAAAAAGTAACAGGGAGACAAGATAATAAGATGGTGTGTGTGCTTTTATTATGATTATTTTCTTCATTTAGGCCAAGGTTGAAAAATGTGGATCGAAGTAGCGCTCAGCATTTGGAAGTTACCGTTGGAGATCTGACAGTCATTATTACAGACTTTAAGGAGAAAACCAAGTCACCACCTGCTTCCAGTGCTGCTTCTGCAGATCAACACAGTCAGAGTGGTTCTAGCTCTGACAACACAGAGAGGGGAATGTCCAGGTCATCTTCACCCAGAGGAGAAGCGTCGTCACTGAACGGGGAATCTCATTAAAGTTTATTTCCTCCAGTTTCATTAGTCTCTTCAAAACATGCAAATACGTAAGTGCTGTCACCACATTTTCATGACAGATTAGTCATGCATAATTGATATGTTGACTAGAACATAATGCAGTTTAAAAAAAGAAAGAAAAAAAGTGCAGTGATAGTAACAGCATGAAGCTGAGTCAGGGGAGGTTTAGGTTGGATACCACGAAAGGTTTCTCACCCAGAGGGTGTTTGGGCACTGGAATAGGCTCCCCAGGGAAATGGTCATAGCACCAGCCTGACAGAGCTCAAGAAGAGTTTGGACAACGCTCTCAGGCACAGGGTGTGACTCTTGGGGCTGTCTTGTGCAGGGCCAGAATTTGGACTCGATGATCCTTTTTGGTCCCTTCCAACTCAGCTTATTTTGTGATTATATAGTAATTTAAATGCTATCAACAAATGCTTATGAAGCATCTTCAGACCAACTTTTTAATCTACATGTGTAAGGGTGCCATGAAAATGTGGTTTGAATGTTCATTATGCAGTGTTATCAGTATGTCCATTTTCACTTTTAGTTTAGTGAATTCTAACACAACTCTTGGAATCTCTACTATTGGCATGTACTGAATTTAAATTTTTATAACATAGTTCAAGCTGCCTAAATATGTATTATTTGAGAATTGTGAAACATAGTTATATGTATGCAAGTCAAAGATCAACTTAATCAATTATTGCTGCAACAGAATTTTCATAATAATTATCTTCTTAAAAACACCTGCTGGTACTTGGTGTGGTTAAATAGGAAAAATGTTATTAAAGAAAACATTTGTATGGATTTTTGCCAATGTTTGACACATTTTACTAGATTACTGTTACTGAATTATGTTGATGGTTTTACCAATATTTTTTGACACTTAAAACACTTATTGTAATGTTTACAAGCAAAATAGAAAACACATTCTAAGCATTGATTAGTTAATCTTGCAATTCAGGTAAAGTACTGCATTGTCGCTGTACACTGGTATTTTGTGTTGTGTAACAAATACTGAACCTCAGATGGTGATGCATTTGGCAAAAACTATTTGGAAATATGAAAGTTTGGAAAAGCTTTAAAAAGAACAGATCTGCAGTTCTCATTTCTGCTTAGTGCTGTTTCCTTGCCCCAGATTTTTCTAGTGTCACATAGTCACTTATCATTTCAGTACAGGAATATCAGATGTTGCACAAGAATAAGGAAATAATAATTCTATTATTTTTTTTGTTCCTGAATCAATTTCTTTAGTATTGAATTGGCCTGTTAGAATATATTATGCCATATATCATTGGAAAAAGACTCAGTATCCTACTTTATGGCATAAGCTGTCAACATTCACGCACTTAGCAATATACTGAAAAAGAGCAAAACTAAATACAACTAAATACAATACCACCTGGTATTATGTAAAATTACCAGTAAAATATTTTTGTGAATACAGATTTTGCATTTTTGTTTACAACCAATAAGTGTTTTGATACATACATACATACAATTCATGTATAGATTTTAAATTATATAATCTGGTTCAGTACAAAAGTTCATTTAGCTCCTTTTAGTGAGGTAGGGCACTTACACTCCTGTGAGCCTTTTCTTTTTCATTCAAAGTAAAAATTTTTAAGCCTATGTGAAAGTTGGATGGACCTTCTTGGTAGTGAATCCAGCCCCAAATTATTACCTACATATGATATGTCTTCTTAACGGCTTAAAATAATGGATTTTTGTAGCCCCTGAAAATTGTGATGTTTGGTGGTTTCTTGTAGTAATGTATTTTTCTGTTTTTAATGCAGTACTTCTACAGGCACAATGGTACTGTTCTATTTTGTAAGATGCTAGTTGTGAAATACAGTTAGTTGCATAAAATGAGAGTCTGATGTGATATCTGAGAACATACATACCTCATTCCTTGGTGTTGCTGTTTAAACTTTTTAGACATCAAATGTTAATTATAGGCTGTTTCAGATGGTTAACTACTGACCTGTTTATTATGTATTCTGCTTTATCTTACTAAAAATAGGATGTCTGTTCATTGCTGTTACCTGGCCAAATTTAGTATCTGTAAAATATGCTTTTTAAGGTTCTTAAATGTTTTTGGGGCCGGGCTAGTGTTCAGAATAGCATACACTAGTTTTTAAAAGAAAAAATACATGCTTTGCAACTTTATTTTTTTATATTTTATTTTTAGATGGGACTATTTGCAGAATATACTGATGTAATGGATTACAAAAGAGCTGAAACTGTTTAATCAGTTTAAGGATAGTAAATCTCATTGCAAGAAGTTTTATGAAATGTGTTTCTAATTTGAAATGTAATGAATTCTAACACATTTCAGAATTCCTTGCAAAGAAATAGTAATCTATTACCAGTATTTCACTAAATGGGAAATGTATTTTTATTTAAGTTTATGTGAATAAACCACCCAGCACTGCCAACAAAAGGATTCTATCTTCAGAATTAAGTAGCTGTTTGGTTTGAAGGGAAGGATGGAGTGGATTTTACTATGATTCAACTGTCTCTAGAGAATAATCTCAACAATGTGTTACAAGTGTGATTATCAAAAATAATGCAGAAAGTCTCAGTGTTCATTATGGAACAAGACAATTTCTACAACAAGTGCTGCAGAAGTCAGCTGGGTTCTTAAAAGCTGTGGTGGTTTTAACTGAACAATTAGATTGCCAGAGTTTTATCGCAATGATGCTCGTTTTAGCATGAAGCAAAGTTGAGTTTTTGCCTGTTGGTGATTAAAAGAATATGACAATACTGACAGCAGAGTAGACAAATTCTAAGCAAAATACTGCATTTGAGTCTGTTCATAATATAATTTAAATGAATTTCACTTTCATAATTTCTAAATAATTTTGACTTGTAGTAATCCTAAATCCTTTTTTCTAACTGTAAATATATTTAAAAGCATCTTTACTCCATTTATAAAAAGTGAAAATTTAATGTTGTAATGTGTTCTGATTAGGTATTTTTCTCTGTGATTGCTCTCTGCATAAGAACTGTTATTTGTTAAATCTATATATGCATCAGTCTTCAACAGCCATACATCCTGGGATGTTCATGAAATGGTGGCCCCACAAGGACAAGTGTGATAGTGTTCCATGTAAATGAGTTCCTTTATGTGCTGATTGTCTGGTTTCAGAAAGGAAAAGGGGGGAGAAATGGGGGAAAATAAGTATAAATAGTTCATTGATAAAGTGTACAGTAATTCAGTCTCTTATCTTCCTAATTTTGCTATTAATTTTCGGTGGTATAAGAAAAAGAACAAATATACAGTTGACTGATCTCTTTTTTTCATGAAATTTAAATCTACGTATTGGAGATAAAAATTCTTCTATTCAGTAGCGGGTTGAATTATACCATATAAAATATTGATTCCAACAAAGGAGGTAGTAATAAATAAATTACATTTCAAAATTTAATATTCTTACTTTTAAGAGTCAATAATGAAGAATATGACTGAAGTTTTAACCTATTATGTGTTTATCTAGATATTTATGTTTTGGGGCATAGATTGTAAAATCTCAAAAATAGTTTGATTTTATAATTTGTGCACTTTACTTTTTTTAATATTATGAATAACACATTTTAAGTAGCCATGTGAGACAGTACTTTCTATAATTTGTTCAATTGGTTCACTGTAGTGTTTAGGCAGGTCTTCTAAACTTCAGATGTTGCATCTTAAATTCTTTACTTTTTTCCTCTCCTGTCTCAGAAGCCTGACAGTTTCCTATGTTTTGCTGATTGATTTTACTTTGTTAACAGGATTGATTTGCTACGAAGCTGTCTATTGTGTACTTTTTATCCAGGGTTCTTTAACTGTATCTGTTTGGGGTTTTTTTTTCTGTAACATGCCTTTATTTGGCTCTTCTCCCTCCTAGGGAGTGTGGGTATAATTCATTCAAAATCAGAAACTGTAGGGAAATAGAAAGGCGTTTACATTTAATTTCTCCAAAGGCAACAGCAGGTGCTATACTTATAGTAAATTTAGCCTGTGCTTACTCAGGAATAAGATAGAAAAGATAAAAAGTTAATGCTGGTTTTGGCTAGTGGACCAGTCAGTCAAATATGTAATTTTGAAAATGCATACTTTTATCTCAGTGTTAAGATTTGGGTGTACTGGAAACACAGCTTGAGCTTCCAGAGGCTTTCTTAACCTGAAATTATGCCCCAGCTTATGTCAGAGTAGTCTCAGTTTGAAAGGTTATACCTTCAAACTAACAAAGACTGTACAAAAACTGTACAAACTGTAAAATCAGTCAAACTGTAGACGCTCAGATGGTTTTCTTTTGTGTTGTTAAAGTTTTAAAACAAGGAGAAACTGTTAAAAGAGACTTAGGAGACTTATCTAAGACCACAATCATATTGAGCTTAGCTTGACATCTAAAGAACCTGTGTTTTAACAAGAATTAATTGGATTTAACCACTAATTCAACTTGAAAAATTACTTCACAAGTTAATTACAAATCAGTGCTCTGTAGAATGTCTAGAATGGAGTGAATGGTATAACAGCAATGGAAAACTGCATGCTTGCTGGAAAATACTATTATCCACCAGCAAGTCATGTTTACATGACTTTCCTAAGACATTATGGCAAAAGATTGTGGTACGTCTGTGAACAAAGCTTAAACTGATTACTATTAAGAATGATTACAAGAGATTGCTGTCCCATTTGGGGTTTTGTAAAAGACAAAATTGCAACCTTATCTAATCGCTCTTTGCCCCATATACTTAAAAAGAATATTAACACCAAAAATATTGTTCAGTAACAATAGCCTAAAAAGTAGTTCTAAAATTTTAATTCTTTTCTAGAAAGTATGGCATGTCTTGGCAGATGGAGGACTATTTGAGCAGGACTATGTTTTCAGGATCTAGGCCCCCTGGAAAAGTGTAGTCTTTGGTTACACTGTTTCCTGTCGTGGTTTGACCCCAGCTGGTAAGTAGGTACCTCACAGCCCTGTGTGCATTTTCCCTCTGTGCACTGAGAAAGAGAATTCGAAGACTAAATCAGGAAACTCATGGGTTGGGATAAGGACCCAATTTAACAAGTAAAGCAAAAGCTGCACATGTAAGCAAAGCAAAACATTCACCACTTCCCATGGGCAGGCAGCTGTTCAGCCA